ACTTTATTGCTGCTGACATTTAAATTGATACGTCAGTGAGAAGTTTTGAGCCATCTTAGCATTTAATCAATTGAGTACAGTCTTTGAGCATTAGACTTAAATTAATTAAAATCAATTAAATTAAAATTAATTAAAAATTAAATTAAATTAAAATTAATTAAATTAATTAAAATTAAAATTACTTTTGAAATTAACTGCTATTTTAACTTACATCGCCACAAGTGATGGCTGATCTTGTCAGACACGAGACGTGCACTTACTATTATAATTATTTGTATAATTATTAATATAATAATAATTTGTATAACTTGTATAATTATTAATATAATAATAACTTGTATAACTTGTATAATTATTATATTATAATTATACAAGTTCTGTTTTAATAAAAAGATGTTTTAAACTTTTCAAGACATTGTTGTTACTTCAGACCAGCGATAATTCGCTCTACATTTATTATGAGTTTGATACTAGGTTTTGTTACAAAAGAAAGTCTAAAGGTAACATTTTATCCAATAAAGAGTTACCAAAAATTTTAAACATTTCTGGCAAATGAGATATTAGATCACTAATCTGGTTTCATTCTCAGCACAAGTCTTAGAATACTAGAAATTTCTAATAACAGGGTTTAAATGATTATTATGCTATTTAATCTAAGCTTACATTGTAATTTCATTTAATGTAAACATGGAATAACCTTCGTAGACAGCTGAACAAATTTTCATCCCGTTTTAAGCTGATAACAGCAAAAGTATGAAAGGAGCTAAAATATTAATTGATACTTTAGTTGAAACAAAGAAAATTAGCAAAATTCAACTTCTTCAGCTTGCGGTCAGAAAATACAGGAGCAGCTCAATTATGTATTTACAAATTAAGTATTAAAGACGAAGAATCTGACTTCTATGCTTCTGCTTACGTAGCTGAAAGTGAAAACTTTAACTCGTCAATAATTAGCATAACATTCCAGCAGGAAGAATTAGAATCATGGCATTCCGGGATTAAGTTGCCAAAGTTTTGCCTTTAAACATAGATTAAAATTATTTGAAAGAGGGACGTGCCTACGCTGAACTTAAAATTAGGGGAAAAAAGCTACTCTAGAATGTCATCGATTTTAAATAAAACTTTATAGATTTCGAGGACGAGCTAATGTCCTTTCCTTCAGATGCAAAAATATTGTTACTTCTAAAGAAGAGAGACTTATGCTTCATTGCCCACTAAACTGAAAGAATTTTATTCAAAATCTACGCGGCTGTTCTTTTGTCTAATTTTAGATATAGCAGTTTTAAACATTTCAAATTTATGGAATTACAATTTATTATTGATTCTTGATATATATTAAAGTAAGTTATATATTCATAAAAATAGAAAAAATATACAAAATTTTATCTGATGCGATAAAGAAACGTACGCTTAATTATACCAGACATTTTGACGAATAAATTTGAACAATTAAAAAATTTCAACTTGTTAAGGTTTTTCACAATAATCATCTAACTTAACAATGGATTCAATTTTGGAAAACTCTTACTACTAATATTTGCTTTATAAATTAAAATCCTATTATTTAAAGAGAAAAATGAGGAATGCAGCATTAAAAGATATTCTATTTTAATAAAGAAGAAATATATTATTTGCTTAACTATTCTTTCACCTCTCTTCTCTCCATCGGCATTGGAATTATTTCCTTTTTATCGTTGTTATGAAGTTCTCATATGTATCTTTGGGCAAAATAAGATGATTAGAAAATCTTATGGAGACTTTAATAAGCTAATTATGCAACTTATTTAATTTAATAATATTCATTTAGTTCTTTCGTTATTATTCTGCACTGAGATTTTGAAAGTTCAGTTTTAAGGATTCTAAAAGCTTTTAAGGATTTTTTTATATATTTTGAAATTTTTGGATTCTAAAGATTTAAGAAAGGATTAAATATAAAGGACGTTGCAGTGCTTTTAAAATTAAATAAAATAAATGTTTCAGACACAACCAGACTTCTTATATTATTTTGAAATGCAAATTATGACATTATGTTTTGAATAAAACATCATTTAGTGTCCAACCTCGACTTCGTGCACGTAAGAAAAATCGATGAACTCAATTTTCCATGACTGAATGCAATAATTCTAGCCTAATGTCACGAATGAAATATTCGATGTTTATTCTTAAGGCTAGAAGGGTGTACACTTTATTCGCATCGAAATTACCTAATTTCGCGAAAATATTTTTGCAACACATCGAAAGTGCCATTAGCAATGTGTTACATGTGACACCGTCTTGTTCTCCAAATCAATTTGATCTGTTCTTCAAATGTGACCACAGAAATGTCAGTGGTATCGCTTACTAGTCACTGAAACTACATCTTTTACCTCGTTTTGGGGGTAAAAGAAAAGGAGGAGAAAAAATGGTCTGATGATGCCACTATGCCATAAACCACACTATGGAATGACATTTGTCTAGTGCCTCTCTCATGGATTGTTTTCACACCAAACTCAACACTTTTGTTCGTTAAGTTAGATAATCAAACAGAAATGAACATTACCTGAGAAGACCTTTTTGGCCCAAAATTAACGTTCTTGAAGTGTGTATTTAGCCATCATGAATTGTCACAGCATACGAAACACAAATAATAATTAGTGACAGTGACAACATTTTAAATATGATTGCCATTACGTTTTAAAATCATATCATCCTTATTCAAATACTCTTTATAAGAAAATGACATTAAGGGTAACAGTTTTAAATATACTATGTGACACTGTGAAAAATATTAACATTTTACATAGAAATAAAAATAAATAAACTGTACTATTTGGATACTATGTGCCAATACGAACAAGAAATATTTATTATTAGATTAAAGAAATAAAAAAACAAGCTGTATTTTTTCATTAGCTAGTTGTCAAATGGGAAATGTATTAGCTGATTTTAAACTTGATTTTATGTAATGTAGGCGAATGAGAATTTCTCCACCACCAATTTCTCATTTACATAACAAAAGTATTCTGTGATTTAGGATGCATATTTAAAGAGCTAAACATATTGGCTTTTTAAGTAATAATCAATATGTAAATAATTTTTGTAACTATCTAGAGTCATTAGGTTTATCGAAGCAGGATACATGAAAGGTGTGAAATTTCCTCATCGAGAATCGAACTCTGGACCTCCAGATTGCTAACCGGATGCCATTTGCAGAAAAGGAATCAGGAACCATGAAATGATTAGAAACAAGAAATATGAGAAATGAGCAATGTCCTTGCGAGATTCGAACTACAGACCTCCCTTTTGCTAATCGGACGTGCTCCCAATTATACTTCGAAGAAAACCGGTAACGAAGAAGAAAATTCCCTTACATTCCTCGAGTTTAAAGGGTGACTGGGGAGACAGAAACTCAACCGCCAATCCTGGTAATCACGATTTATCGTCCATCATATTTTAGTTCGGGCGCCAAAGAGGATGCATGAAAAATCAACAAAATGCCCTCCCCAGGATTCGAATTCCGAACCTCCCGATTCCTAGCCGAAGGTGTTTTGAACTACACCACGAAGGTACACTGCAAGTTGGAAAAATATCTTACATTTTGACTTAAGGAGGTATTTTACCTTACCCCACTTAAAGGGGGGCTAGGGAGGCCAAAACCCAATCGCCAAATCATGATAGTGATGAATTCGGGAATCATGATAGCTCGGGCCCGACTGTAAAATCTATTAAGTCTTTTTTCATGAAAATTCAACGATGTCTTTGCTGGGATCTTCCAACTGCTAACCGGACGTATTTAACATACACCAACACATGCCGTAAGAAGAGAGAAAAGTCCTTACATTCTCCTCTACCTAAAGGGCTTCTGGAGAAGCGAGGACCCGATCGCCAAAATAAAATTTTCGCTGATTACACTTATAGCACAAATTATTTGAACACACGACACAACCTGGAACGAAACTTGTTAGAGGTACATGCGAGTTCGTGATTCGGCCCGTGCTTCTATAGCCAGTGCTGCCAGATGCAAGAAAATAAAATTTGTTCCATATGATGATCTCTGATTTAAGCTAAATTCATAGGCGGTTTTTAGCTTAGTCGTCTTACAGGATAGATATAAACATAAAATTTTGATGAGAATATATATGTCGTCTTATCTGCGGTACATGGGCCAGAAAACTCAGCCGCATTAAGTGGAACTAACTGCTTTGTAAAACGCATTGAGTTTTTGCATTTCTGATGGTTTCTACTTCAACGTCTTTACGAAATCTTCTTCAAGTCTGAAGAAAAGTCAAGGAAATCTATGCAGAAATCCCATCGTGAAACATATTAAAAAATTTTCGCACCTTTTTTACAATAACTCGAGATTGAAGCTGCAGCTGTTAACGGTGTTTGGGAATGACTCAGCTGACTAGATTTTGCTAAATTATTGGTAACAGATATTAATGTTAACACCCTCAGTTTAAAACTTCCGGCTAATCATCTTCCGTACGTCGACTTCTTTATAATTAATGGAAACTAGACTGGAACAATGAAATTACAGGCAGAAGAGCTTTCCAGTTCATGCGAAACGTTGGTGTAATTGTCAAAAGTGGCATCCTACAACTCACATAGTTCTTCATTGGGCATGGATCTTTTATGAGCCGCCTAAATCGATTTCTGTTCATAGAAAGTGATCTTTGCATATGTGGTGAGAGACTGACGACCCGGCCGCTATGTATTTGATTGCCTATTTTCCACCAGTTACCATCTACAAAAGCCAACATCAGAGAGTTGTTATGCATGGGCAGCTAACTCACCAAAATAGGCGTGCAATATTCTCAATAAGGCCTGTACTTCCTATGTTCTCACTATTACAAGGAGACAAAACTTGTGATAATCATTCAATACCGCTGGCCATATTCTAATGTGTTATAACTGGTATAACATCATGTAACACCTTTAGATGTCATCATTCAACATCTTTTTTTAGTTCGGACGCCACTGTAGAGACACTAGGTTATTTCGAAGCAAGAGAGATGAAGCAGTGCCCTCACTGGAACTCGAACCGCGGACCTCTCGAATTTGACTCGAGCGTGCTGACCACTGCACTACGAAGGCATGCTAAGAAGGCGGAGGAAAATACCTTATAACTGTACGGAAAAAAAAAACTATTTTTATTTCCCGCGCGCGAGACTGTATATTGGAAATTCTAAAGAGATGCTCTTTTTAATTTACTTTGTGATATTGCTGTTAAATTGAATTTTATTGTTTAAGTGCGAAGAACATGATATTTAATAAATAAAGGTAACACACAAAAGGTTAAATAAGTCCCCTTTAGAATAATATAAAATCTGAAAACTTTCAGAATTTTTTTTTTTTTTAACTCATGAGCAGTGTTTTAGAAAGGAAAAATTAAATGATACACGCCAAGCGCACTGAAGAAAAACTGCTATTCGAGAAAGAATATTTAAAAAGAAGCTATTAATTTGCTTAGGCTTAAAAAGTAATTTTGTTTCTCCACACAATTAATATAAACATACTGAGATCATTCGAAACTTTGGATTCTAACCTAAGAAATCGTTAAACAGTTTTCCTCAAACGTTGGAATAACTACGCAATTTCAGTAGTATTTGAATAATCAGTCTCTCTCATGATAGCCTTGACTAACAGAATATTTCAGAGTGGTATCCAATGGAATCTGCCAGAATTTTTTAGTAATCAGAACACTGCGCATGATTGAAAATTCTCAAAACTATATCTCGAATCATCCCGATAATTTTGGGCATAGATAATAAAGTTCAGGCGCATCATTGAAAATTCTCGAAACTACGTCTTGAATCGTTACCATAATTCTGGACTTAAATAACCTATTGCTAATAAATTTAGTAGTTCATGCCAGGCTATATAAACGCTTCGTCGAGCACATATTCCGTCTGTCTACCAGCCGAACTCTTCAATTTTGTTCTTCCGGCTGTTTAATTTTGAGCTGTTTTTCAATTATACAGTAAATCAAAATTAATGTTACGGAAAGAAAACATACCTATCACTACTAATTGGAATTTATTTCGCATATGCAGATGTAACATGAATGCGTAGCTTTTCATGTTTCTTTGAACATGTACAGATGTCCGATGTGGAGGCCTTTTGTAACACGGTAAACGTTTAGTTTAGTTCCTTAAGCTCTTGACAAATAGACGCATGGATCCACCATTTTCTAACTCTTGGACCCATAAAGGCGGTCGAATAACTTACCGTCTCGTCTAGAATTTCTAAGTAAAATAACTCATAAGAAAGTTTAAAATAAATTATTGTTAACCTAACGGTTACATAGAACAACTCTCCAGCGCGTCACTTAACCTGTGTACAGAAAATAAGTCTCAAATGGAATTTGAAATGAAGTCTGTAGGCAGAGGATGCTTTAGAAAATAAAAGATCAGACTTGAAAAATAAGCGTTTAACGAAAGCAAAAATTTCCATTATTGCCTAAAATATGTAGTGATAAAGTAGTGGATCATTGTACAACTTTTCGTTTGGTAACTTAGCTTTCATAAAAGACATGCCAGACGAACATCGAAAATTAGAAGATAAAAAATATCAACAGATCAAAAGAAGTGTAATGCTGTCATCAGAGCCAAGGCAACGGGTGCAGCTGCAGAGAGACAGTAATAAGGGGTGGAAAATTTTAGATATGCAGGGCAGTAAAATGCCTACAGGCGACTCTAACCTAGTGCCTTTAATCTAGTGAAACAAAATGTGTCTAATCTGGGAGGTTGAAAGGAGGTAATCAAAAGAGAAATAAAAAAATTCGAGGAGATATCACAAACTAAAGCCGGTTGTACCAATATCAATATGCCGGTTTTGACAGAAACTTCGGAGAAGAGACACGCTTGTATTCTGTTGATCCCTCATTTCTTGATGCAACGTTACTGAAATGAAGATTTGATGATTAAGGTGAAGATATTGTCTGGAATAACAATATCTGATATAATAGGAATTAAACATTTTGAATAAAATTTAAATCGTTGTCAAACCAGTGATTCCTCCAAATATTTCAGCACGCACAACCATTGGTGAAATAAATTATGATCTCTGCTTAGGATTACCAAGGAATTATTACGAAAGATAGAGTTTTATGTAGGAAAAGTGTTCATTAAACATATTATTGTGAATGGTTGTGAAATCTGTAAAGCAACTGCATAAAAATGCCTGACTTGCCTAGGGATGGGAAATTAATTTTGAAGGAGTTCCGCAGAACAGAGATAAGATACCATTCAACGAATAATAAATCTTCCGGGTGGATCACAACTGTTGTGAACAATTGGATCACACAGGAATGTAAGCAGATACCGCCTGAAGTAAATTTGAGAGAAAAAAATATTAGAAAGAATAATTAAATACTAAAAATATTAGCACGGCGTTTTAGATTAACTTCGTATTAGTGTATTCCGATGGCCGTTACTTGCTCAAAAAGTAGCATTATCGGGATAGTAATTACCAGAAATAGAATTATTTGTAATATTACGTATTTGTTACTCTGACGATAAGTCAGCAATGGGCAGTTTGAAATCTATCAAATTTTTACATATATAATACTAGAAATTAAATTAACGATTAATAAAGAAACGTAACACTGCTGCATGATTTCTATTTAAAATTCCATTTGTATTAAAACATTAAACATTTATCCAAAAGTAGCATTTCAGATGGCAAAGGATTGCAAGTAGCTCGCGGGCCGCAGTTAATGTGTCGGAGAGCCGCCTTCCATAAAGTCGAATCACACATGTCGTGATTCGACTTTATGGAAGTTTCTGGAAAATTCCACTTTTAGAGTTTCGCAAATGCGTTTTCTCAGAACTTTCAGAAAGTTTCTAATTAGCAAGAAATTATCAAATGTTACCAACTTAATGATACAAGTTATTGCCAAAGACAGTCAGGAAAGTTTTGCCTATGTCTTATTTTCTAACTGAGGTATTTTTACAGCTGAAACATAGTTGCATTCAGAATCACAAGAACTACATTTTGCACTAAAAGTAAATATTTTTATACAAAAAATATGGTCACAAATTCAGTTATACGCAAAAGATTCCTAAAATGTTTATATGAAGTAGAACAATAAAAAAAAATCCAACAAAGCAACACTAAATGCTATAACAATAATAAAATCAAATGGATTCAAATGTTTGCAGAAATTTATAACATTGTATTTTTACAACATTGTATTCTTTCCACCTCTATAATTCAAAATAAGAATCTTAACTATGGGTGGGAACAAACACACACCTAACAAAAGAAATAATAAATACTCTGAAAGCCTAGAAGCTATTATTAACAGCAAATACAGTAAAGAAAGGAAAGGGAAAAATGTCAATTGCTGGCAATAAATTTTTTCTGCTTGATAATATTGATATACAGAATTTTCAGGACTTCTTAATCCTTTTTTCTTAGTATGCAAAATTAAACAATAGCTTAAAAAGTGTTGTCCATTTGTTTTCTCCTACCACCCATCACGATGCATGAGATTTCTAATTACGTTTTTTTCCTCTTAAGCTTTCATAATTTATTTTAAAACTGTTCTCTTTAGAAAGTTGCAGCATTTTAAGTTGAGCATGATAACGTAATGGTCTAATATCTTACAATTACTGTCCAGCACCGCAGGGCCTTCAGATATTAATAGCCTGTAATATGTGATACATATATTAGCACGATAAATCGATAGGCAGGTAGAATTTACAGCATTATTTTTTCTAATCACACATATTTCGGAGAATACTTGATTAGCTGTTAATAATACGTTTCGGACGATGCATTAAGTTTGAGTTAAGAACTAAATAACTCAAGTTAAATAACTTAGAAGAGAAACACCCCGAAGTAAAATTTAAATATAGGGAAAAACTGAATACCACCTGAACTTGGTGTAAATTTCGAAAAGCTTTACCGATTTCGAGGGCAATGAGATATACGTAGGTCTCTCTTCTTTAGGAACAGAAATATCTATTTCAAAAGCGAAAAGCCAGAGATTCTTCTTCTTCTTCTTAAAAAAAAAAAAAAAAAAAAAAAAAAAAAAAAAAATCTGAAATGTTTCAGATTTTAAATTACGTCCAAAGGCGCGTTTTTTAACATTTTGTGTGTTACCTTTCTTTATTAAATATCATGTTAAGATCCAGTGCAACAGCAATATCGCAAAATAGTTTTAAAACGAGCATATCTTTAGAATTTCCGATACAGAGACTCACGCGCTGGAGATAAAAATGTTTTTTCTGCACAACGTTGCCATTGCTCGCTTTGAAATCCTTGAGTTTGTTAATCAAAAATTCGTCAAAGTTTTAAAAAGTAGGAAATCGATCATAAAACAAATTTCAAATTTCAAATTTGGTCTTCCACATGCTCATATTCGTTGGAGGATTACGTTATTCAAAAATTCGATGACTCTATGTACCGTTGTTTTATCACAATACGAGAAATATACATACATTTATGCAGATTTTTCATTATTTAATTTCTTCAAATATAATGCAGGACTCTAACATTTTGTGGCAACAGTTTGAAAAGTGAACCGACGCAAAATGCCAAAACGAAACTAATAGTCCTTCGGGATTCAAATCCCTTTGGACTAAAAAAAAAAAAAAAAAAAAAAAAAGAACAAACTTGTTCCTAACGAAAACTTGAAATCAATAAAGTTTTGTTCAGAATTTACAAAATAAGATAGCCTATTGGCCTACTTCTAAACTGAAGCTAAAGTTTATGATATGTAGGCTTAACAAATGAATGGTATATTGGACGTAATTAAATAGTAAGATAATTCGTAGTTAAATAGTAGGTAAATACGTAATTAATAGTAGCTAAATACACAATTAAATAGTATGATGCGTAATTAAATAATAGGATAAGTAGTAAGACGTAATTGAATAGTAGGATAGATATATATATATTATCTATCTTACTATTCGGGAGAGATAATTTTTATATTTTTTGACATTAAAATAGTATTTACTGTACTTACGTTCTGTGAATCGTCTTGTTAATTTTATGAAAATCTATCTCCATACACACAGAACATTCAGTAACAATACATTTTAATTCGAAATCAGTCCTGCATGGCATGCAGATTTTAAGTTTGA